AGGCACGTTTTTACATCTGAAACAAAGGCATAGTCACACATACGCAAGGTCTCACATGTTGGATGAAGGCCTAGCTCTCACAGAGGCAGGTCCTCACAGAAGGCAGGGCCTCACAGGATGCAAGGTCTCACAGAATGCAAGGTCTCACAGAGGGTCTAACATTATGAACAAAGGCAAGGTCTCACAGAAGGCACAGGAGGGAAGGCCTCACAGAAACGCAGGCTCTCACAGACTGCAGGGCCTGACTGAAGGCAAGGCCCAACATGTGAAAGAAGGCTGGGTCTCATAGAAGGCAGGGTCGCATATAGGACAGATGTGAGAGAAAGCAAGGTCGGACATGTGACAAAAGGTAGGGTCTCACATATGGCAGAAGAGGGTCTCGCATATGACAGAAGGCAGGGTGTCACACACGAAAGAAGGAGGGGTCTCGCACATGACAGATTGCAGGGTCTCACAGATCTAACAGGGTCTCGCATGACAAGGCCTCACTCACTGGGCAAGAAAATTCAAATAAAGGTCGTAAACAGGCCAGAAGGGAAGGCATCAAAGAAGGCAGGGCGTCATAGCAATTTCTTGCCAAAAAAAGCATCTTGCAGAAGTCTGGGTGCAGCATGGCTTCACAGATGGCAAGGTCTCACGGAGGGGAAGGCAGGGTCTCACAGGAGGCAGGGTCCCACATCTGAAAGAAAGCATCTTATTTGCAAAGGAAGCGTAGGAAAGCAAAATAGTTTTTTTTCCGTGATTCTTATGTTTTTCTCTTGTTTTTACCAAATAATCATGTGCCTTCCATGTTTTTCCTGGCAACCCTGGAAAACATCTAATGGGAGGGGTTTGGGAAGGATTATGGGGTGTGTGGGGAGGTGGGTGGGGGGTTGGTGGTGGTGGAGGTGGTGGGGGTGGGAAGGGGAGGGGTTAAGGAGAATGGAAGGGGTTGGGCAAAGTGTTAAGGGGGTGTGGAGGGGGGTGGGGGGGCGGGGGTGGACAGGAGGGGGTGTGCTGAGGGAGGGAAGTCTTGCTCGCCCCGTTAATTGCGTTTTCCTCGCCCCGTTAATGTTGTCGAACGTTTGTCGGAGGAGGGGGTGGGAGGGATTAAGGGAGAATGGAAGGGGTTGGGGAGGGTGTTAAGGGGGTGTGGAAGGAGGTGGAAGGGGGTGGGGGTGGACAGGAGGGGGGGTGGTCCTGCTCGCCCCGTTAATTGCGTTTTCCTCGCCCCGTTAATGATGTCGAACGTTTGTCGGAGGAAGGGGTGGGAGGGATTAAGGGAGAAGGGAAGGGGTTGGGGAGGGTGTTAAGGGGGCGTGGAAGCGGGTGGAAGGGGGTGGGGGTGGACAGGAGGGGGTGGTGGTCTTGCTCGCCCCGTTAATTGCGTTTTCCTCGCCCCGTTAATGTTGTCGAACGTTTGTCGGAAATCTGCCCTATTCCGACCCTTCCAGCTGCTGTGAGACGCTGCCTTCTGAAAGACCCTACCTACTAGGCTTCTGTCCTGCGAGATCCTGTTAGATCTGTGAGACTTGCAATTTGTCATCTGTGAGACCCTTCCTTCTTTCGTGTGTGAGACCCTGCCTTCTGTCATAAGCGAGACCCTGTTAGATCTGTGAGACCTTGCAATGTGTCATGTGCGAGACCCTCCTTCTTTCGCGTGTGAGACCTTGCCTTCTGTCATATGCGGGACCCTCTTCTGCCATATGTGAGACCCTACCTGTCGTCACATGTAAGACCTTGCTTTCTCTCACATGTGAAGTTTTGCCTTTTGTCCTATGTGCGACCCTGCCTTCTATGAGACCCAGCCTTCTTTCACATGTTGGGCCTTGCCTTCAGTCAGGCCCTGCAGTCTGTGAGAGCCTGCGTTTCTGTGAGGCCTTCCCTCCTGTGCCTTCTCTGAGACCTTGCCTTTGTTCATAATGTTAGACCCTCTGTGAGACCTTGCTTTCTGTGAGACCTTGCATTCTGTGAGGCCCTGCCTTCTGTGAGGCCCTGCCTTCTGTGAGAGTTAGACCTCAGTTCAACATGTGACACCTTGTGTTCTGTAAAACCATGCCTTTGTTTCAGGTGTGAAACCATGCCTTGTGCGAGTCCTTGCTGTGAGTGACACACCTTGCTTTCTGTGAAGTTTTGCCCTCTGTGAGACTTTGCCTTCTGTGAGACCATGGCTTCTGTGAGGCCTTGCCCTCTGTGAGGCCCTGGCTTCTGTGAGGCTTTGCCTTCTGTGAGACCCTGACTTGGTTTATTTTATGATACCCTGCCGTTTGTGAGACCCTGCCTTTGTTTAAGGAATGTCCAGGGCCGGTCCTGTCATTCTGCCGCCAACCAGAAAGTGAGCAAGAGCAGTTCGCGTGTGGGAGCAGTAGAGGAGAGCAACAGTTCGGGAGCGTGTGATTTCACGGGTGAAAACACCTTCAGGTGCGGAATCCATTGGTTCCCCCTGTCTATTGTGTGAGTCCCTGCTATGAGTGACACACCTTGCTTTCTCTAAAGTTTTGCCCTCTGCTAAACCTGGCCTTCCGTGAGACCCTGGCTTCTGTGAGGCCTTGCCTTCTGTGAGACCCTGGCTTCTGTGAGGCTTTGCCTTCTGTGAGGCCCTTCCTTCTGTGAGACCCTGACTCAGTTTATTTTATGATACCCTGCCGTCCGTGAGACCCTGCCTTTGTTTAATGGGCGAGACCCTGTCTCCTGTGAAGCCCTGCCTTTCTGTGAGACCCTGCCTTCCTTGATGTGTGAGACCCGGACTTCTGTTCTAATTTATATCGAAAGCTACATATCTATAGATTGTATCTTGCTCCTATCATTGGCCAAATATAAAACCCTAAAACTTCAGTTTTGGAAGAATGTCCAGGGCCGGTCCTGTCATTCTGCCGCCAACCAGAAAGTGAGCAAGAGCAGTTCGCGTGTGGGAGCAGTAGAGGAGAGCAACAGTTCGGGAGCGTGTGATTTCACGGGTGAAAACACCTTCAGGTGCGAGGTCCTGTATTTCCCTGTCTATTGTGTGAGACCCTGCATTGCGTCATATGTGATACGCATGCCTGTAGCCAAACTAGGCTTGGCACCCCCTGCCTTCTGTGAGACCCTGCCATTGTGTAATGGGCGGGACCCTGTCTTCTGTGAAGCCCTGCCTTTCTGTGAGACCCTCTGTGAGATCTTGCCTTCTGTGAGACCATGGCTTCTGTGAGGCCTTGCCTTCTGTGGGACCCTGGCTTCTGTGAGGCTTTGCCTTCTGTGAGGCCCTTCCTTCTGTGAGACCCTGACTTAATTTATTTTATGATATCGTGCCTTCTGTGAGACCCTGCCTTTGTTTAATGGGCGAGACCCTGTCTTCTGTGAGGCCCTGCCTTTGGGCGAGACCCTGCCTTCCTTGATGTGTGAGACCCTGCCATCTGTTCTAATTTATATCGAAAACTGTGCTACATATCTATAGATTGTATCTTGCTCCTATCGAAGACCAAATATAAAATCCTAAACTTCAGTTATGGAAGAGTGTCCAGGGCCGGTCCTGTCATTCTGCCGCCAACCAGAAAGTGAGCAAGAGCAGCTCGCGTGTGGGAGCAGTAGAGGAGAGCAACAGTTCGGGAGCGTGTGATTTCACGGGTGAAAACACCTTCAGGTGCGAGGTCCTTTATTTCCTTGTCTATTGTGTGAGACCCTGCATTGCGTCATATGTGATACGCATGCCTGTAGCCAAACTAGGCTTGGCACCCCCCTGCCTTCTGTGAGACCCTGCCTTTGTTCAGTGGGCCAGACCCTGCCTTCTGTGAAGCCCTGCCTTTCTGTGAGACCCTCTGTGAGGTCTTGCCTTCTGTGGGACCCTGGCTTCTGTGAGGCTTTGCCTTCTGTGAGACCCTTCCTTCTCTGAGACCCTGCCTTTGTTCATAATGTTGGGCCCTCTGTGAGACTTTGCTTTCTGTGAGACCTTGCATTCTGTGAGGCCCTGCCTTCTGCGAGGCCCTTCCTTCTGTGAGAGTTAGGCCTCAGTTCAACATGTGACACCTTGTGTTCTGTGAAACCATGCCTTTGTTTCAGATGTGAAACCATGCCTTGTGTGAGTCCCTGCTATGAGTGACACGCCTTGCTTTCTGTGAGACCTTGCCCTCTGTGAGACCTTGCCTTCTGTGAGATCCTGGCTTCTGTGACGCTTTGCCTTCTGCGAGGGGCCTTCCTTCTGTGCTGCCTTCTGTGAGACCCTGCCTTTGTTTAATGGGCGAAACCCTGTCTTCTGTGAAGTCCTGCCTTTCTGTGAGACCCTGCCTTCCTTGATGTGTGAGACCCTGCCATCTGTTCTAATTCATTTGAAGATATTTGAAGATGTTTGATGGGCGAGACCCTGCCCTACCTTGCCCTCTGTGAGACCATGCCATTTCAAGCTCGTTCATTTGAAGATGTTTTGACCTACAAGAAACAGGAGACCACTGCTGTCCTGATTCTCCTTTGAGAATCACATGTGATGGATCTGCCCACAGGCTTTGTACGAACCTGAGCCCTTGACATTGCAAACTCGTGCTGGATACCATCCAAGCGCACTGACTGAGAAGTTTGAGCCACAGTTCTCGCAAACTGTCAAATTCTCAAATTGTCATGTTTTTATGTCCCTTGTCATGTTGTCATATTTTTTCATTATCTTCCATTATTTTCCCTAATTTCCCATGTTTTCTCATATTTTTAAAGGGGTTTTTCTCACCCCATTTGGGTCTCACCCCCCAAACTTTTTCATGAATTAATATATATATATATATATGTATATATATATATATACATGTATATATATATTATATATATGTGTGTGTGACTGTGTGTATGTGTGTGTGTGTATGTCTGTGTGTGTTTGCGCGTTTTCATCCAATTGTTAAGGTGCCCAAATATCATACAACCAAAACTTTTGGTTAGTTGCCACATCACCGGCATCACCATATGATGAGTGATGAAGTTCAAAATTACACTCAACATCGCATTCTTGTAGGGCATCCAATACATCCAAAATTGACCTATGCCCATTGACGTCCGATCCTCACCTGCCATCTTCCCAAAGTGCTGGCTGAGACTGGAACTTGCCAAGGGACATTCATCTGTATGCCACCCCAGCGATGCAGAAAAGGTGTCGCCAGTGTTGGCGGCGTGGTGCAAATGTAGCCTCCAAGACATAGCAAAACGCAGGGGCAATTTTGACTCTTCTCTGTAGCAGGTATCAGAAGATTAAATAGATAATGATAAATGTTCAGCGTATTTGTACAAATATAATATAATATAATAAAATACAATATAATACAAAATAACATAACATAACATAAAATAATATAATATAATATAATACAATATAATATAATATAATATAATATAATACAATATAATACAATATAATATAATATAATACAATATAATATAATACAATATAATACAATATAATACAATATAATATAATATAATACAATACAATATAATATAATACAATAATATATAATATAATACAATATAATACAATATAATATAATATAATACAATATAATAAGACAGATAGATAGATAGATAGATAGATAGATAGTTAGATAGATAGATAGACAGATAGATAGATAGATAGTTAGATAGATAGATAGATAGATAGACGTAGATTTATGCAAATATTGGTACCCAGATGTACCCACTATTTAAGAGAGCACATCCTGGGATATCCAGATGCTCCACCTCCCAGGGCGTCAGCCCCAGGTGGCTGTTCACAGGAGAGACCAGTGATGTTGAAAGCCAGGGCTGCGGTACCTGCTGCGCCCATGATGGCACTGGATGACTCTGGATAACGGCTGGAAGTTAAAAGCTGAGAGAAGGGCTGGAGTCATGGTAGCTGTTTTCGGTGGTTTTCAGGGGGGAGTTGGGGATACCAACAGATCCGACTCATTGGATGGCCTCTGAAGGTAGCAAATGGCTCGAGAAAGTGGGAAGTACGACCACATACAACCACCTTTCTTTGGGTCGTCATGGGGTTGTTGTAGAGCCCCTCCCACCACAAGAGTGCTTGGCTCACTCAACTAATTTCAAGACCCTGTTGCCTTCAGGTCGGGTCACTTTAGCTTGTCATTCCAACATATCAACACATAGGACAATCATCAATGATTTCTGTTCGG